TCTAAGGAGAAGAAATTATCTGGAGGGCTTGTCTTAAAAGGCTAGACAGGAACCCTGTGCCGTTTGGTGCTAGGCCCCACTGACAGATTTATTGTCTTCTCAGAGGAGCTGTGGCCACAGAGTGATGGAAGTGGCAGGTGAGGGCTGCAGCTAAGAGGATTCCCATGCTTCATGCAAATGTGTAACTGGCGGCATCCAGGGTCACGGAGGGCCAAGACCGTGTTTACAGTTAGGGTTTATTGGGGGGTAAAAAGTTATTTTTCTCTTATCCCTCAAGGTAAAAAACTCTTTTTATTGCTTTTTTAGGAGGCTTTTCAAAGCATCCAAACCAAAACCAAGCATTGGTGTTTTATAAATAGTGCAATGGTTATGCCTTTGTGTAGCATGGAAGGAAAAAAAAAGAGTCACTAATGACAAATGACAAAAAAGAAATAAACTAACCTTTTGTCCACCATGTTAAATAAAAAAGCACTTGATGCGAGCTAATGTCAATTAGGGCATGAACATGATGAGAATGGGTAAGCATCTTTTGTCTCCTGTCTGCAAAAAGCACCGAAATAAAACAGAATATAATACGCGGAATTTCAATCTTACCCAGTTCGTATGAATCAACCTTGAATTTGAAAACCATGCAGGGCAATTGATAGAGACCTACTGCTAAAGTGCAATAATGCCATCTAAATTTATTAGAGCTTGTAAATGCATCCAGTCCAGAGGAAAAGGGACTATTTCAGGAAATAGTCAAGGGAGCCCTTGGACAGAGGAATTCTGTATAATATCAGAGAGTCCAATACTGGAACTAACATCCCAGGACAAAGAGAATTCTGCATGAACAGAACTGGAAAGCAATTCCTTCAGTATTGTTGGCTTTGTTCTGCAAATTTCCACATTCTACTGACTTTTCTTAGAAAAAAAAAATCCTTTAACTCAATTAACTAGGGAGTATCCCTACCCCCACCCACTATTAAAAACATGTCTTCTATATTTAAAATTGGTAGTTGAAGAGCTAATGAAGGAGCAAATTCTTATAAAGATGTATTGTGTAGTCAAATTTGCTGATAACAATTCTGCTACAAATACATGTCTTAAAGCCAGTTTATTTATTTTAATATCAATCATCAGAGTACATAATCCTCTACAGCAGCGACCAGGTATCACTCATTTCTGATTTCAAAGGTAATTGTAAATTACATTTTCTTTCTCTCACTGCCTGGTAAGGAGGAAAGTTGGTTCTCATCACACAGGGAGTATCACAAAATGTGTGTTTATTGCCTCATCTTAGATAGTTATCATATTTTGATGATAATTTGCAATGTTTTATCAGTAAGGAAATAGTGACATGTGGCATCGAATTGGGTTCAGCCTTTAGGCACATATTCAATAAGAAGTGAAGCTTGTTTGAGCATATGTCTTTCAGAACCTGAGAATATGGAGTGGAAGCATCACAAGAATTTGCCTTATTTTACTTAGAACTTGCAGAGAATAGAGCCCCATTCTTTTTTTGTTGTTTGTTTTTGAGAGGAATTCTCACTCTGTTGCCTACTCTGGAGTGCAGTGGGGTGATCTCGACTCACTGCAACCTCCATTTCCCGGGTTCAGGCAATTCTCCTGTCTCTGCTTACCAAGTAGCTGAGACTATAGGCACCCACCACATCCGGCTAATTTTTGTATTTTTCATAGAGTTAGGGTTTCACCATGTTGGCCAGGCTGGTCTCAAACTCCTGACCTTGTGATCCACCCGCCTCCACCTCCCAAAGTACTGGGATTACAGGCGTGAGCCACCGTGCCCAGCCAGAGCCCCATTCTTTATTGCACTAAGACTATGATTCAGTGACATTGGTGCTTTATCACTTTGTCTTGAGCACATTTGTTAAGCATGTCCCAAGACTAATTTTCTTATCACATTGTATTAGGTCATTTTTCATTATCGAATAGTTTATTTGAGACTTCATTAAAATTACAAGTTGCTTATTTTACCCATGTTAGGGATAAGTTGAATGGAATGTTCATAATATATACAGTTGGAATAGCAACATATAATTTTTCCTGGAATTGTAAATTACTTATGTATTTGCAAGAAAATGTAAATGTTTTGTAATAAGCCTGGGTATATGTTAAGTTTGGGAATTCAACATGATCAGTGTCAGGAATTTATGGTTTTCATGGTTATTACATATGACAGGTAGCCTCAACTTTAATTATACTGCATAGGAGGGAGTACTGTGTGGATTTTGTAATCCAGTTGCTGTAGTTCACAGCTACACAGCTCCTCTATCCACTTTCCCATGGAAAAACTAGTTTCTGAGTCTATTTATTTTCCCTAATTATGTCAAGGGTCAATATCAATTTTCCAGAAAGACATCAAACAAAGGTAAATGGAGACTCTTCTCTACATCTATTTATTAGAAAGCTTTTGAGAGAGCTATTGAAGGGCTTGCTGGGAAAACCCTTAATGAATTTAAGAGATTCATATTAGAAGCTGATATGCATTCATATGGTCAGCACAGCATTGTGTGGTATAACTTACATTTTCAATCATGCCAGCTAATGCTGTTCTCAACACTATCTGATCTATCTTCACTATGCACGATTACCTCATAACATTTTTCTACTAAGCGAGAAGATTAATAAGAAAACCGACTCAGAAGGTGATGCCAAGTTCTGGACTAAAGCATGTCATAAGTTCGGTTTTGACACGTACATTTGCAGAAGAAATATATTGATATAGCATTGAGTCTTAATGGAGGAAGAAAGGAGCTTCTGTCTTTTAAAATGTTCTAAGATTTTCATGTTGTAGAATAATGATTTGTGGTCAAATTGAGCAAAGTAGAGCAATCTTTCTTGGATGCCAACTTGAACCCCAGGATATTTTAAAGAGACAAGGGACATCGTGAGAGGATCACTTTAACAGAACTTCCTTGTCAAGGATCAATTTAAGAAGGCAAAGTGTGCTATTTTGCATGCTACATGAAGAAAAGAGTAACTTCAGCATTACCATGGAAGATAAGTGCGTATAAATGCTACAAATAATATTTTTATTTTGAAGCTCTTTAGTTTCTTTTGCTCTTGAAAATAAGTATCTCAGAAAGAAATAAACTTCCAATGTTCTTGAAAGTTTTACATTAAATTTTAAAATGCTGTCCAAACAGCAGTCTTAACACTATAATTTTTGTGTTTTTATATTTAACAGTAGTGAACAGGATGGAGGGAATGGAATTACAATTCACCACCACTACCAAAGCTTGCCATCTCTCAATTTGTTTTGTGAAAAGGGATACTGTTATTTACCAAATATTTCTATTGGAAACTGAGTCCAAATTATCCTTGATCAAAACTTAATTGGTAAAATTTAAAAAGCAAAAACAAGAATAAAGTCAAATGCCCAAACAGAGAATTGATTTCTACTACAAAGTCAGCATTTAGGGACTTTAAAATGAATTGTGTATCTGAAGCACTCCCCTCTTTCAATTTGTTGAGCACAGCAGTGTCTGGTTGGAAAAAATGTCACCACATCACGTACATGCCTCCTGTGGTAATCCTTGTGGTAGTCTGAGATGTTCTGCTTACTGAGGCTGCAAGCTATATTCAGCCTTGCCACAGCCTTAAGCAATGGGTTGTATTTTATTTCAGAAGACTTATTTCTCCAGTGAACTATTTAATAGCAACTTTGGCACCTAGTATATTGCAATGTTATTTGTTTGTCTTTGCATAGTATTTTAGAGAAGTCATTCTCAAGGTATGGCTTCTAGTCCAGCAGCATCAACATCACCAGGCAATTTGTTAGAATGCAAATTTCTAGGCACCATCCAAAACCTACTGAATTAGAAACTCTAAAGTTGGGGCCCCGCCGTCTGTGTTTTAACAAGCTCTCTGGGTAATTCTGAGGCACACTAGAGCTTGACAATCCTGCCGTGGAGTTTTCAAAGTGCTTTTGTTTTGGTGTTAGGTAGTAGGGTACTGATTTTGTTTTTCAGAGGAACCTAAGGCTTAGAGAAGTCCCCTGATGTGCTCAAGCTCAGTCAGAGCTAAGTAACGGAATTTAGACTTGAACCATGTTCTTCCTGTTACAAATCGTCCCATTTTTTCTATCCCATACTTGCCACCCGGGCTTGTCAAAGTAACTAAAACTACAAGCACTGGGGGTTGGGGAACAGATCCAGGCTCCAGCCACACAATATTTTAGGAGTAACTTGCTTAAAGGGGCAAGATTATTTTGCTACTCTTTAGCTGGCAATCAGGAAAATGCATCTCAATATAGCTGTGATCCCCGTCAAGCCCAAGGAACAGAGCCATGTTCCTGGGGACACTAGCTGTGGATCGTAGCTTTCTAGTGATACGCCCAAGTGCACTAGTCATGTTATCTACGACCACATTCAAGTTTTATTATTGCAGGAACAATGGGGTATTTATGGTTCTATATTAGAAGTGTGGACTTACTTAAACTGGGTTAATAGGACACACAGTGCAGATCGTTAAATTGAAATAACTAATATATGATATAAAACATTAATTTGGAAAAACTGTTCACAATTTGCTTTCCGTGTTGATGCCAATTTGAAAACAATCTTGACAACTTCTCACTGTAGTCAAGTTCCCTTGACTCTTCTTTCCTTCAGCGTTTTTGAAGGAAAGAAAGCCTTAAACACTAAGGAGAAAGGTAATTAAATTGCTCTGTTTATAAAACATCAATTCATATAAAAGTGCTTCCAAAAAGCCTCTAAATTATGCTCATGTACTATTCCCTCACTATGTTGCATCTGTAATGGATATCTTTTGAAATGTGAAATAATTAATTACTGTGTAGAAGTACTGGGACTCTGTGACTTGAAAAAATCAGAAGCCCTGTAGAAAGTGAGAGAGCCACCCACAAGACTGCCCTCACTTCTGACACCAACTCCAGAGTTCAGGGGTTCCTAAGACCACCTTTAGGTTTGATAATTCACTAGAAGGACTCATAATTCACAGAAAACTGTTTTACTCACATTTACAGTTTATTACAGGGAAAGGATACATATACAAATCAGCCAAAGGAAGAGATGCATGGGGCAGAATCCAAGAAGCCAAACCAGGAGCTCCCAGTTACGCTTCCTCATGGAGTCATGGACAGTGTTGCTTTTCTGGCAATGACATACGACAGTACACAGTGAGTATTTCCAACCAAGGAGTTCACCTGAGTTTTGTGTTCATACTTTTTATTGGGGTCCAGTCATTTATTTGACTGCCTGAGCATCTGGCCTTTAGTTTTCAGCCTCTTTGAAGGTAGAGTGGTTACTACACGGCAGAAAGCTGCTATTGTAAGTCATGGTGTTAGAATTTCTGATGTGCCCCAAAGCCCCCAGGTAAGCAAAATCATGTTTCCTACAGACCACCTCCTAGGAGGCAGAGGCAAAGGCAAAGGCTAGACCTCTCTTTGGGTAAGGTTAATTCTTTTATACACACTTGGAAATTTAACTAGCTTAAATGTCTCATCCTTTTCTCTCTCTCACTCCCTGGTAAGGAAGAAAGTTGGTTCTGATCACACGGGATATCAAAAAATGTGTGTTTATTGGCTCACTTAGATAGTTATCACAGTTTGGTGATAATTCACAATGTTTTATCAGTAAGGAAATAGTGAAGTGTGGCATTGGATTGGGTCCCACTTTTAGGCCTATATTTGAATGTAAGTTATTGGACCACTTTTAGGCCCATATTTAAATGTAAGTAATTGGACCTAGAAATAGAAATTCCATTTGACCCAGCAATCCCATTACTGGGTATATATTCCAAAGGATTATAAATCATTCTATTATAAAGACACATGCACACGAATGTTCATTGCAGCACTGTTTACAATTGCAAAGACTTGGAACCAACCCAAATGCCCATCGATGATAGACCGGACAGGGAAAATGTGGCACATATACACTATGGAATATTACGCAGCCATAAAAAATGATGAGTTTGTGTCCTTTGTAGGGACATGGATGAACCTGGAAACCATCATTCTCAGCAAACTGACACAAGAACAGAAAATTAAAAACTGCATGTTCTCATTCATAGGTGGGTGTTGAACAATGAGAACACATGGACACAGGGAGGGGATCATCACACACTGGGGACTGTGTGGGGAAACTAGGGGAGGGACAGCAGGGGGTGGGGAGTTGGGGAGAGATAGCATGGGGAGAAATGCCAGATATAGGTGATGGGGAGGAAGGCAACAAACTACACTGCCATGTATGTGCCTATGCAACAATCTTGCATGTTCTTCACATGTACCCCCAAACCTAAAATGCAACAAAACATATTTAAAAAATTAAAAAGCAAATAAATGTAAGTAAGTGTTCTGGCTTTCATGCAGAAATCTGTCACCCAACAGTCATTAAACCCAGAGCTTGTCTTCTGTATATTACACTAACTTTGCTCTTAAACTTGAACATTGCTTCCTTTTCTACCCTAAGGATCATCTCCCACCTTCTCTGCTCTCCCCATCACTGGTTTAGTCAACAAATGTTGATTAGAAAATAATACATCCAAATAATTTGTATTTTCTTTTTGTCAAAATGGCTTGGTTAACAACTTTACTTGAAATTATTAGTGTCAACTTATCAGAATGGAAAGTTTTTGCTTTACCTGGTTTCACTCATTCGTTTATTCAGAGTTTTAAAATTTTCTGTGATGTACCAGGTACTGATTCGCACAGAAATATTCATGCAATATATCTCCTCCTTATAGTAGGGAGCTTTGTAAACTACACATGACCTCTTTTTATTCTCTGCTCTGCATCTTCCTATGTTCTGTTAGTCTTCTGGAGGAGGAAGAAGTGCTGGGAAGATGAATATATAGATGTAAAGAGGTCCCTAAATGATCCGTTCAGCTCCTTTTCAGTTACCGTTAAGAACTGCTGTTAGAAGTTTACAATATAAAGGAGGAGACAGAGAAAATAATCACAGCCTTCCAGGTGAAATACTAATAGAGATATGTTACTAAATGTATTACAATGCTTGGCTAACATTGTTGGAGTTAGAGTGGCAAGGTAGAGAAATGGATTCTCTGTTGGTGGCAGATTTTTAGGAAAGCTAGTTTAAAACAAAATTGAAAGTTTGTGTGTGGCTGGGCTGGCGGGGGTAGGGGGAGATGTATTCAGTTAGTTTTAAAGCTTACTTTTATTTGTTTAGGGTCCTATGAGTTGATGCTTGTTCAGCACATGTCATAGGTCATATTGATGATTAAATTGATTGATGAGTTACTGATAGGGATGGGTATTCTAACCATGGTCTCACATATAGATTCAAAGGAGAATAAAATTAGGTAGCTTTACAATAGTAGAAATTTTAAAAATGCAGTCATTAATTATATAACACCACACAAAAGGATTTTAATGTAAGCAAAAAAAAGAAGGCTTTTCTTTTTCATTAAAAAGAAATCTATATGGACGTAGCCTGGAGAGGATGAAAGTGTCAGTTTTCACATTTAAGGATTTGTACTTTATGAGCCTTGATATGTTAATGCCTCCTTTGGGGTTCTTTCGGATGAGCACATTGCACAGGTGGCCCACTGAATTTATAGACACAATAACTGAACCAGAGAAAAAAGAGGCCAGAGCATTTGTGACGCATTGGATGCAGCTGGCTTGGCTCCTTAAGAGCCGACATGAGTTTTATGTGACAGAATCACTTACTAAGTCAGGAGACGCTCCTTTTCCTGGGACCCTGACCTGCTGCTTTTTTCTCTTCCCTCTCTTTAGTATAGACCAGGGTAAGCTCTGAGAGCTGCTTTGTCAAACTATGAAATCAGCAAATTAATTTACCATAATTTATAAAGTTCTGAAGCTCTTTGAAAGGAACATCTGTTAAATACAACTTCTCTTTGTAACACTCTAAAACTTGGGTGAGTTAAACAATTAAGGGGCTTGGAAACTTGAAAATATTACAGTGCCTGTGTCTGAAAAATGTTTGAATATGCCAGAGAACTGGCTTTTGTAAATTAAAGTGGTTATTTTATCACTTAATTATAAACACTGCATATATGCTTGCCATATCTGTCAGGATAGGTATGAGGTGTTTGGCTGGAATTTCCTCAAAATTATTGGGATAGTTATTGCCAAACATTGTTGAAAATAAAAAAGGAAAATGCTTTCTCTCTGTCTCACATGCGCGTGCGCATACACACACACACACACACACACACACACACACACACAGACACACACATTAAACTTAAAAGATGTGGAGTTAGTTATTAACAAATACTTTTACAAAGTCAATGTGTTCTCCCACCAGTTTAATACTGTAGCAAAAATGGAGGCACTTTTCAGCACCACTATTTCAAATGAGGGGTATAGGTCGTGGAAAGATAGGAAAAGAGAGTTGAAAGCATGAGAGAAATGGTAAAAGTTAGAGAGGGTATGATTTATAAAGCAAGAGTCAATGAGAAATAGGGCATTTTCCATACATTTGCATATTATTTATAGGCAAGACATTATTTTTTGTTTTTCCTCTATTATTTCCCCCCTGGTTCAAATTTGTAGCCAGACTCTGTACCTTCAGGAGAAGTTGGCAAAGTAGAGAGCAAAAAGTGGAAATTATTTGCAAGCCGTCTGTTTTTGGATTTTGTTTTCTGGAAGCTTGAACACTGAGGAGAGCAGCTGAAGTGTGGTCATTCCTTGAGACTGAGGTGGCCTTGGAAGCCTTGTGCTCCCCACAGGGAGATGAGAAGTCCTTGGAAGGGAATGTCTAAGAGGTTGGCCCTGGAGGCCGGGCTAAGCCTCAGGTGTCCAGCCTTAGTCAAGAATCCCTTGTGCCACCTGTGGTACACAGCAGGTTTTCAGGGCCTGATGTGATCTTGGACAAAGGATATCTCTGTATCAACCCATTCAGAGAGAAGTCCAGAAGAGGCTTCTTGATGTCCTGGCATTACACCGTACTGTACTACATATGTAACACCTGCATGGAATGAGGGAAAACATTCCCCACCTTCCTGTGGGATGGGGCTCTAACTAGCGTGTGTAGCTTCACATTCTTCTCTGCCTGCTACATTTGCTGAGTGGGCTTGAAGTCTCCTTTTTCAATAACTCTTTCTCATTTCCTTGCCCATCTTCCCAATTTCTGTCGTCTCATCTCTAGCAAAAAAATGTTCACAGATATTGTTATGTATGTATGTATTCAGTTACTTTTAACTCCATCTATTCCCACAAAGAACGTTAGTAATGTAGGAACTTTGCTTAGAAATATTATCAATATAATAATAGATCCTCTCCACATTGAACGATAAAACAAAGCTATAAAGAATTGTGGACCAATGGATTTGAGACAAGAGCTAAATTTAAATTTATCCACTGTTTAAGACAAATGGCCTATTAAATCTTAAGGATATACAAAAGGATGTGAGTTGGCTATTTGATATTTTCATGAGCCTGTATAGTGTAGTAGCTAATGAACTTGGGCTCTGTGATCAGAAATACCTGAGATTCAGTTCCAGCTTTTCTTAACTCTAACTGTACAATATTAGGCAAGTTTTTTTTTAAATTTTTTTCATCTGCTCTACAGGATTCTTGTGAGGATTGACTGTAAATGTGGGTAAGGCATTGAAGAGTCGCTGGCAGAGACTTGATGTTTAATGTTTAATAATTCTATTTAGTATGCTTGCTACCAAAGGGTCTTGCTTTCAAAAATTTAGGATACACAAATGTGAGGCAAACAATTGTTATACTCATAGTAAGTCATGATCCTGGGTTCATTTGAGTTAGACTCCTAAGAATCTCTAACAGAACATTTTAGTATTATTACTGTGTGCACTCAGAAAAATAATCCTATACTTCTCTATTATGTTTCTATAATTTAAATGATCTATTGCTTCAGATTTCTCTCACCTACAATGAAAAATGAGATATTTTTATGGGAGTAAAACACATCAGTATGACATGTTTTGGCTTGCTTTGTCTAAAAGTAGTTGTGAACTGCACCAAATTATTAAGAGTTTTTCTAGTTTTCACTGTTGATTTTGTGTATTGTGTGTGTGTGTGTGTGTGTGTGTGTGCGTGCACGTGTGTGTTTGCCTGTGTACTGTGCACATGCACCATATTCATGCACCTAAAGCAACTTGAAGTTATTTAACCTCAATAGTTTAATTAATGTTGAGGTTATCACATTGGCCGTATAAGCATTGTGCTTCAATTCAAGAACTAACCAATACAGACTAAATGTACAAAATGACACGAATAGATAAAGCGTTTTCAACACATCGTGTCCAATACATGGCATATGCTGATAGAAATCATTTTTCTTAAGGGGCATTCTATTAAGGGTAATGCTTACTTGCTTTGCATGCTTTTTGTTTTTTAAATATAGCCTTGATTTGAGTAATAATATAACTTCTACCTCTTTCATTTATTTGACTTACATATTTTATTTGGGAATGTATTATAGCTCATAAAAAGAATTAGCTAAGAATAATTGAACCTGTACAATGAAGTGAGAAATATATACTGTTAATTACCTATTAATTTCATATTATCAGATAGTCCACAAAAGCCATATAACCAATGTATTAGTTAGATGGTCCTTCCTGGAAACCTTGGCCAGATTTGTCTGGCAATGTTGTATCTTAATTTACTGGTCTGCATTGGAATGTTTATTTCCCTGCATACGAATTTAATGCAATTTGTAGAGAATTCTGTTTCTCCTCCTGCAAGCGATCAAAGTTCTGTCTTTCAGGTTCTCCTTTTTTATCTTGCCATCTTCCAGATCTAGGCGTATTCTGGACTGTAAGAAGATTTGCTCTGAGGATACATGCTGTCTGTGAAACATCTTCTGTTTTACTCTGGGAGGAATGATTGTATTTCTTTAGGAACAGTTTGGTTTTCTGTCTCAAGGAGTTCTTCGTTGAGGTAGAAGCGACTCGGCATATTTTAGGTCAGATTTTTTTCTGAAAAAGATTTTATGCCTTTCTTGAAAAAGTCATAAAAGGAAAAAAAGGAGAACTCATAGTCACAAACTAAATGGTTCACTTGCAAACATTGCCTCAGATATTTCCTTAAGGCTCATAAGAGGAGATTTTTCAGCAGTAGAATGAATGGGTCAAAAAAAGTTAATATCTGGTAGATTTTTAAATAGAATTTTAGTAACCTAGATAATACATTATTCTATTAGTGGAAATATCTAATTTCAAAGAATAATTCATTGGTTGGCCTTGCTTACAAAAGAGTTTAGTTATTGAGCTAGTAATAGGCTTCTCTGACTTCTAAGAATTTATTGCAAAACAGTTAAAACTGTATGCACAGACTTGACTAGAAGGGTAGTCACCTTCGTGTTGTGTATATTAATAGTAGACAACAGGCTGGGCACGGTGGCTCATGCCTGTAATCCCAGCACTTTGGGAGACCAAGGCGGGTGGATCACATGAGGTCAGGAGTTCGAGACCAGCCTGACCAACACGGTGAAACCCCATCTCCACTAAAAATACAAAAAAGAAAAAGGGCCAGGCCTGGTGCCTGTAATCCTAGCTACTCAGGAGGTTGAGGTAGCAGAATTGCTTGAACCTGAGAGGCAGAGGTTGCAGTGAGCTGAAATCGCGCCAGTGCACACCAGACTGGGTGACAAGAGCAAGTTTCCTTTGCAAAAAAATAGACAATAATGAGAAAAACTATGTATGCATTAATTCAAAGTTGTTTAAATAAATTATTGGAACAAGCATAATGGAGCACTCTGAAGTGATTTTAATTGACTTATTGATACGAAAAAATGATTTTGATATAGTTTTAATTAAAAAAATTACAGAATAGTTTTAATAAAGTTCTTTAAGCACTGACAAGATTATGAGTAATTTAAAATTTATTGTATTTGCTTTCTGTATTTCATAATTATCCGCAATGAACAGATATTGTGGTAAGGTAGAATGTTATGCACATAGTTCAATCTTATTAATATTTCAATTAAAAGAAAATTATAAGATAATTTACATAGATTAATTTGCTTTTTCATTTAACCCCACACTATGAACACTTTTTCCATGACAGTAAATATTTATCAAGCATTTTTTAAAGTTGCTATCTATTTTATTCCTTAAAGATTCAATAGTTTAACCAAACTTATATCGATGAATAATATGGCTGTTTTAAGGCTGTAATAAAACTGCTAGTATATACACCTCTGCTTACTTGTAAGAGTATTTCATAAGAAAATTTCTGGTAATGGAATTGCTAGACTAGAGAGAATACTAACGTAAAAATACTGTAAAAATTACTGTTAAAAATATTAGAACTTTTCCCTCCAAATATTCCTCTTAAATCTATCAATTTATACTCATACCATCAGGGTATGATTGTTGCCATTTACCTAGGCACTTAATGTGGTTTGGCTGGGTCCCCACCCAGATCTTACCTTGAATTGTAATAATCCCCACATGTCAAGGGCAGGACCAGGTGGAGAGAATCGAATCATGGAGGCAGTTTCCCCATGCTGTTCTCGTGATGGTGAATGAGTTCTCACGAGACTTGATGATTTTATAAGGAGCTACCCTATTTGCTCAGCACTTCTTCTCTCTCCTGCTGCCCTGTGAGTGTGAAGAGATGCCTCCCGGCATGATTGTAAGTTTCCTGAGGCCTCTCCAGCCACGCGGGACTGTGAGTCAAACCTCTTTTCTTTATAAATTACACAGTCTCAGATATTTCTTCATAGCAGCGTGAGAATAGACTAATACAGTCCTCAAAAACACCATTTATTATCTGCCTGTTCAAAATGGAGACTTGAACCATGTGTGACTTGAATTTAAATTAATTCAAATTGAATAAAATTTAAAAATTAGTTTCTCAGTCTCGTTAGCTGTGCTTCAAGTTGCACAATTGCTATCTGTGGTCATTGGTTGCTGTAGTAGGCAACATATACAGACTATTTCTATATTTCAAAAATTTCTATCACACAGTGCTATATTGTGCTGTGCAATAGCACGGTTTTAACACTTGATAATTTGGCAAATGAAAAACATCTTGTTTTAATTTTTATTTCTTTTATTTTTTTCAAGTGAGCCTCTTTAAAACATGATTGTTAACTATATTTTCCTGTGAATTTACTTTTCTTGTCTTCTCAATTATATACAGTAGAGACTATCTTATAAGCTCTTATGGATATTAACCCTTTATGAATATGTTGCACAGTTTTATTTACTGTTTATCTTTCAACTATATTTACAGTGTCTTGCAATAGGGAAGTTTAAATATTTATGTGGTCAAATGTGTGAAGCTTTATCTCTGAGGTCTGATCTTAATTTATATCTAAACACCACCTAAAGAAGTATAAAAATATTCTTATATTCCTTTAGCACTTTTAGTTTTTTTGTGTGTAAAAAGTCTATATGTGTTTCTTCGTTTCCACAAGTAACCAGTTTTTAAATCATAATTATTTAAAAAATTCATTTCTTTCCTAATGCTTCAAATTGCCATCATATTGTTTTACATTTGTCTCTAGTTCTAGTTTTGGATTTATTGATTTCCCTTTGTGTGTGCCATATCAACTTTATTACTGTAGCTTTATGTTATGTTTTACTAACTGATAGAATAAGTTTTCTGTTATCATTATTTTTCAAAATGTTAATTATTGTTACATATGCATTCATTCATAAAATCTGTAACTCAGTCTTTCTCTTCCACCACAAACTATTTTTAAAGTTTATTAAATATACAAAGAAATGTGTTGTCATTAGATCTGTACAGTTTTGAGGTTTTTTCATCTAAGAGTATAAACTGCTTTTTAACTTTGAGGAAGTATGTTCAATATTTTGAGGAAGTACATTGAATATCTGATGTTCAATTTCATATTTATACTTTGCACTTGTTTCTGTGCCTATCAAGAGCATTTTTTATCTTCCTTTGGTCACCTAGTATGTAATGTAATTTGCTGTTTTGTGTCATTCAAAACTGTTGATGAGAATTCCTTTACATGTTCAGCAGAATAATTGCTAAAACTGCTAGCAGGATAGAGCCAAGCATACAAAACCATGTGGTGTACTGAATTCAGTGCCACAGACGCAGATCTGTGATTAACTTAGGAGAGTTAAGTAATCTCTAATCCTGTTAAATATGAAAACTATATTTTTAACATTAAATTACATTATAAAAATTATTTTAAATCATTCAGAAAGGTTTTGAAGATCTTTGTTTTCTGTATATTGTTATTTGGTATGCTAATCATTATTTACCACTTGATATAGTTTGGATCTTTGTTCCCTCCAAATCTCATGTTGAATTCAAATCCCCAGTGTTGGAGGTGGGGCCTGGTGGGAGGTGTTTGGATAATGGGGACGGATTCCTCATGGATGTCTTAGTGCTGTCCTAGTGATTGTGAGTGAGTTCTCATGATGTTTGATTGTTTAAAAATGTGTGGCACCTTCCCCCTCACTCTCTCTTGCTGTCACCATTTGATGTTCTGTTCCTGCGTCAGCGGCTTCCAACTGAGGCCCTTATCAGAAGCAGATGCTAGAGCCATGCTGGTACAGCCTGTAGAATCTGAGCCAATTAAACCTGTTTATAAACTACCCAGCCTCAAATATTTCTTTATAGCAATTCAAGAACAGCCTAACACACCATTGATATATACAAGTATTGATTACTGAAGTTGATGATTAGCAGAATGCCTAATAATCAGGCTTTCCATAATAAATACAACATGAAATATCATTTCTTCCCCAATAAACTCCACATTTCTGTTTTCTTTTCAAAAGCTCACCCTTTCTCAAACTCAAATCTCTTCCCTGTGTCCATTTCTGCTGGCACATTTTGCCCAATATTTGGTATAGTTGCTGAGACAATGAAAGTAAACTCAGACTGCCTATGGGGCTTTAAGTCTTGCCACAAAGAAGGGGTAAGAAATCACTCTGCTGTTGTCATCCTTGAATCCAATGTTCAGTGGTGAGCCCTGATAGCGAAATAGCTTGTCCTTTTCTCAGCCATCTCCATATGGATCCCATCACTACTAGTTTGTAGTCGAAGTACCATCCAAGATGAAATGTTGCCCTCAACACCAGGCTGATTTGAGTCCTATCCTCATTTTTTCTTTTATTTCTGGGAAGTTGAAGCCTGTATTTAACCACCATCACTCTGGCTGAGGCATTCCCTCATCCCATCTTCCATTGCTACACTAGGTCTAAGATTCCACTGTCTTATAGACAGGTGTTACACTGCTTTCTAGATTTGCATCATTATGGCCCCACCTCATAGAAAGCAATGCATATAGTGTAACAGCTTGAGTTGGGCAGTTCACCATCTCCCGCTCAGGCACTTGGTTGTATTCTCGTTAATTCTTCTTGAGTCCAACTCTAAAGTCCTTACAGTTTTCAGAGACAAAATTGTCTCTGTTCCAAATACAGTTGGCCCATGAGCAACATGGGTTTGAATGCCCTGCGTCTACTTATATGCAGATTTTTTTCAACCAAACACCAAATGTACAGTTTGCAGGATACAAAATATGCAGGTATGGGAGTCTGACTGCATCAGCAGCTTCCACGGGTCCTACTGTGGGACTTGGCTATGTGTGGATTTTGGTATATGTGGAGGTCCCGGAACCAATCCTCTGGCTATACTGAGGGATAGCTGTACTTATTTTTCCCTGCCAGCTCACTGTTCAGGCTAGCTTCAGACATTTTATTTGAGACTATGAAGACTGTGAAGTTTTGCCAGCCTTGGCAAGTTAGCTTAACAACGAAATTATTTTAGTAATTCTTTCATGTAGTTTGCAATTTCTTCCAAACTTCTAAAGTGCAAGAATTATATTTTATTATATCCCTCATTGTTGTAGTAGCCATATTTTCTGGGAAAAAAATCCAGATGCATGATTTGATAAATTCTATTATACCTACAGGGTAAAAGTATGAATTATTTGAAATGGAACCTGACATTTTTGTTCTGGCTATTATGATTGCTTTATTTAAAACATGGTTTTCTTGAAGGTAGTATTAAAAAATGTTTTTGTTTAATGTATGTGAGTAGCATATGAAATGCATTGGTTGAAGAAACATTTTCTTGATTGTAAAAATAATAATTTTATGGAACTTTGGAATGAAATAAATT